AGAGAGAGAGAGAGAGACTAGAGATTAATGTGCTGGCAAGCTGAAGCTGCTGCCGTTGCTTGGAGAACACATATTGATGCTAGAAAAGCTACATTTACTGGGGGGGAAAAGCAGGTGGGGTTGCTCTCAGTTTAAAAATATAGCTCATGAACACGAGAGAATATCTCAAACTTAAAGGTCCTCTGGCCAGTGCAGCTATTTGAACTCTCAATCAAAAAGGTGAATGCAAGTTCTGGAGACAGAAATTAATGATTTTTAAATCAACCAGCCTTAAATAAGTGATGTTCATATGAGCATTTTTCCATTCAGTGTTTCAGTTGTGTGAAAATGAACTAACTTCAACCAACTCACTCTCATTTGACTGCCAGTTTTTATAGCCCTGTTGGGAAGTTCATTGTTTGCTCTCATCCCCATGGATTCCTGTATGTGTGTGTATACTATTGATTGCATGCCCTTGTTTTGTGATATTACCCCTCCCTCTGGACTCAAATCCAGCTAAGTGATTGAATGTCTGTTCTTTCTAAATATTGTCTTGTTGCTCCATTTGTGTATTATCCTGTATGTCATGTATGCATTGAAATTAAAAACACAATATTTGCTGTTCATGCTACAGTGTGTGTTTGCGTGTTACCATTATAGTAGAAATTGCATATGGCCATGGTTCAAATGGGGCTGCACTGCATGTTCTTTGTGTGGTCTGCAAACAACACACTGTCTTTAAATTATTCACCAGCTCTAATTGGCTGGTTGAATGAGGACTGTACTGGGTTTCTTCCCACTGTTGTGTTCTATGAAGGATCCTTGAGCAACATAGAAAACAAACCTTATGTCTAATGAGCTTATATGTAAAAAATGGACAAACAATGTATTATATTGTTTAATTGTTGTATTTTGTGGAGTTTAGAGATTGGAAACAATCCCCTGTTTATGAATTGCTTATCTTACAATATAGCCGTATATCAAATAAATTTGGGTTTAATTATCTTGAAATAAGGACTTTGGCTGATATAAGGTATCAATGTTTGTTTGGTTTTTCACGTATTATCATTTTCTAATCATGAAAATTAGAGACAATAACAATTTCACTGTCACACCAAAGTTTTCAAATGTATTCTTAACGGTGCTTATATATCCATTGTTTATCTCAATAGCAAAATAATGGCTGAGGATCGATTTTAGCAAAATGTACCCTCACACAACTCACAGTGTACAAAATAAGGACAAAAAATAGAGATAAAAAATGATTGACTCTATGTGCGTGTGTGTGTGTGTGTGTGTGTGTGTGTGTGTGTGTGTATTTCAGCTGCTATCTTCTTTTAAATTGCTTTGAGCAGTGACATACTGTAGTGAGCTGGTGACAAAGGCAGTATGGCACTTTTTCAATGTCACAGCATATATCCATCACCATCCACTGCGCAGTACTCTTTTTGTGACTCTATTACTGACACACACTGCACACTGTGAGACAGAGATGTGAAGAACATACGCTTTTGGTGAATAAAACAAGTTCTCTTTGTCAGTATTTCACAGTGTAACTAAAAAAGTAGATAAACTAGCGATGTGAGAATGAAAATATAGATTTACACAGAGGTAAACAAAAGGGCTGCGTAGGTCAACAAAAACAATAACACTGTATAGTGATTTCTGATGAGTGTCTCTCTATTGGTGTTTTCCTGCAGACTGGTGGGGACTTTCTGTATGGTGCTTCAGAAGGTGGCTGAGGAGGGACACTTAGAACTCACGGACACACTCATCGACGATAACAACACATCAATAAAGGTAAAGCTAAGTACTGCTCTCACACTGGACTGTTTAATACTCTTCAGGGGTTACACTGTGAGAAGGTCAAGATTTTTTTTTTCTGCACTATGTCTGGTTGGGAACATTTAATGAGAAACACGGTCACTGTTTTTGCAGTTTGCGTTTATTTATGTATTACCTGCAGCTAGTGAGCTAAGCATGTGTATGTGACTCTTTTATAGCTGGCCCATTTTACTAAAAAATGGAAGAATTTGTAATTATCTGTTAAAATTCAAATTTCACAATGTGTTACTGAATGAGAATGAATGATGAGATGAGAATCATTTTATTAGGTATAATTTACTGACCAAATTGTGCATTTGACTCACAGGCTCTAAAGACATTTTAAATACATCTGCTAGCTTATTGTTAGCAAATAACCTGATGCAGGAGTCAGGCTTATCTCACTCACAAAGCTGTGCATGCTTCACTGGTTGTGCACTGAATAATATTTTATCATATAGGGGAATAAAAATAACATAATATTTGAAAGTCCAGCCCACACAGTGTCTGATTACAATAATTCTGGCTCTTGGACAAATGTAGTTGATGACCCCTGAAATGGAGGAACATTAAATGGGTAGATTCATCTTCCACTGCACCTGCACTGGTGGCACTGGGAGATGTAACGGCTATCATCTGGCCAATAAAGCCACCGATGTTCAACAAGGATCTGATGGAAATACAACAGTCTCTTAGCAACATCAGCACATTAAGACGCCGGCCATCAACAATAACCCAGATATTGTCTATTGATTGGAAATTGTTGTTTAGGACAGCTAAACAGAAAGCAGTAAGGTGCAAAAGGATGAGTGTGAGGATGATTTTACTGGTGAATACATAATATTCGTATGAGTAAAAGATAGCATGTGTGAGGGAGAATTTAACTGCTGGAGGTTTTAAAGACCCCCTGGGGTGCAGGATTTTGTTAGTGGGAGTGCTGATGTGATGTTTCTGGGATGATGACACACAGCATGCAGATGCTTTGGGGCTTACACACCACGCACACACATACACTGACATATGTGTGAGTGGCGTCTCATGAAAACACATCAAAGCATACACACACAGTTAAGAGAATTTCAGCACTGTACATCCCTGCAGGAGGAAATCTAACATTACCTGAGAGCAACTCTTTTACCTACAACTGCACTGGCGTGGTTGCCATGGTGACAAATCTAACTCCTCATGGACTACAGTGATTGCCTTGTGAGGTTGTGAGGAAGAGAGAGCGACATAGAAAGAGATGAAGAGAGGAAGGGGAACGGGAGCCCCATGTATATTTTCTCCTCATCTGTCTTTGTCAGTAGAATAAATTGGCCAGTCCCTAATAAAGATGCGGGCATTGTCAGGAGAATAATATTTGTCCATAACGGTCCCCAGAAGACACAAAAGACAAACAACTATGTCACTATTGTTTCTGGCCTGGATTAAACTAACATTTACTGTCAACTTGAATTCCCCCAGCAAATACCAGGGAGAAGAGATGATTTATAGTCCTGTTAAAGTTTGTTGGTGTTACTGAGAGCTTTTTCTAAACACAGTTAAATAGATTGCTATAGATAAACCAAAACTAAGTACTAACTGTAATTCAACTGGACTCTTTCACTTCAAGTTTAAATTGATTTATAAGTCACAGTGCCACAGTGTGTGTGGTGTCATATTATATGCGTGTTGAATTTAGCAATTAAAAGCAAAGAGCATAAACATTTAATACACAAACATAAATGCATACATATATACTGTACATAAAGCCACCATAGGGGAGTTTTCTGATGTGCCAAAGTCCTTTTGTAGATTTTTAATCATAACAATAATAACGTTTCTTTGTATAGCAATTTTCAAAATCACTGTTATTGTGCTTTACACAAAACAAGGATACAATCATTAAAGCAGAATACTAGTAAGTTAACTGTCATGTTAAGTAAATTAACATGACAAAAGTCATGTTAGTGACTCTGTGAGGCTGTTGTGGTGCTCTGAGCTAAATGCTAATGTCAGCATGTTTACATATTTACAGTGACAATGCTAACTGGCTGATTTTTATTTATATAATATAATATTTTAGATATTTAGATATGATTTGGCAAGCCTGTGCTCCTCAGCCATTTTTAAAGCAGTTTTAAATACAGTGAGATGAAAAAGCTGCACTATAACCTCAGTGAAAGTGAAGGTTTATTTTTTATTTGCTGCTAATACAGACATATTTTCATCTGCTTTCCTTCTGTTTTTAGACCAGCATTACCATAGAGATCAGATACCAGTCTATGGATGGCACTGTGGGAGTGTGGAGCGACGGGGAGTTCCTAGATGTTCCTGATGACCGTGACGGCATGTTTGCCTTTGAAACGGACAGCTTGCTGTCTGGACAAAGCCACAGTTCAGTGACGTCTCCTGGACGATCCTTACAGGGATCCATACCAACTTTCAGGAAGTGAGTCAAGCACACAAACTATGTCCATGACAACTCGATTACATTACATTTCAGTGCATCGGGCTTTGAAATGCTGTTGCTTTGCATCTGAATCTTAATTTGATGACTCTCCACAACAGCAAACAAGATTTGTTGTTTTAATTATGTACTTCAGTTTTTAAGAGATCATTAACAGTAACAGTACTACTGAGGCACACATGGGTGAGAGAATAACTTGCATGTGTTGAGGTCGACAGATGGATCCAGCATTCACACACTGATGAAGCTTCATGCTGTCCGGCTGATGTAACATCTGTCAGGGAGGGCAGGGATTGTAGTGGCCTGACTCCGATGCCCAAAAACCACAATTTAGAGCAGATATTTGGTATAGGAGTATTTGTAGTTGAGTATCATGTTCTATAAACATGTTAGTGTATGAAAGTTTAATTAACTAATCAGTGCAGTTGGAAGGGGGCTTTGAGTCATGTAGAAAGAGCTAGCATTTTATGTAAGAGTTTTCTGTTCTCAAAATTATATCATTAGACAGATTTGAACTGTGAGAATTAAAGGAGAAGTTGCAAAGTGATAAATAGCCTCAAGTTATGTCACATGAGTCAGCATTGGTTGGTGCTCAAGACTACAAGTTTGAAAATTAAAAATAAATAAATCTGGGCGTGTGGAGTTAAACAAGTGGACTTACCAGATCTCTGTAGCTTGCTCCTCATTAATCTATGTGGCGTGAGGCTACATTAGCTGCTACTAGCATAACACACCCAAATCTCCAAGTGAACTGTCAGTGGTGAAGTTGCATTTTAGATAATGCAGGCACCAGTGTTTGACAAGGAAGAAGAATGTGTGGAATAAAAGAGACAATATCTCTGGAGGTGCTGGATTGATTTTTAATACTTTTTGTAAGCTGTCCGGTGTGAACCTGACAGTGTTGTCAGAGTGCAATGTTAAATTGGTGGAGTACTCTTGAGTTGGCAGAAATGAACATGTAGTCTAGATGTGTTTGACCCTAGTTAATATCAACATTGTCATGGTCAGTTTCATGAGTCACATGATTGACTTTCAAAGAGGTTGTAAGAACTGAAAGAGAGTTTTCCCACCAGCACTCATGAGGTTAAAAATAATACGGTGGGATTTTAAAATTGATTTTCTTTGGCACTGTGGGGATGTGAACAAGGAAAAAACATTGTGGCTGAAGTTGCATGGTCTGTTTATACCGTTTAGAATGCATGGTAGTTCATAATAATATACAAGAAATCCCAGGCTGCACAAGACTATATAGATTAAGTATGAAAAACTGCAAGACTCTCTGCCCCGCAAGCTGCTTTTGGCCTCTTTACGCTGTTCCTTGGACTTCCTCTGCGGTGTGCTTGTTGTGTTTTTGCTGAATAGTATGTGAAATAATCTGTGGGTGGTATCGATTTCCACTGAGACTATCTGCACAGCCAGACCCCTAAGTCCATCATTATATTGCATGTTGAATGGGTGTGTGAAAAATCGTGTATATGTGAGGCTGACTGCCATGGTGGGCATGTTTTTGTTTTTGTTTGTTGACACTGAACGCCTGAGTTGCAATGTCTTACGGCATGAAATTAAAATATGTGCCAATGTGAGACTGGAACCAGCCTAAGGAAAACAAGAAAAGTTGACTTATTTAGTTTTAGAGCATCCCACGGGTGTTATGTAACAGAGACAGTGTTTGGATTTGGACGACAAATCTGTTTAGAAATACTGTAAAAGGGTTTGATAAAAGTTGGATAAAAGAAGTCACCAAACTCGTGAAGCTAAAACTTACATTCAGCACGCAGTTAATCAGATTATTGTTTGTGTTGCATCTCTAGCACCTTCATTTACATTCCCTCACCTTTCTTCAGGTGAATAAGCTCTCTGTGTTCATGCATGATGACTGCGCCTGTTGTCTGGTTGTCGTGGTTGCTGTCAGTCAGACTTTATAATGCCGTTGGGGTTTTGTCTGAAAAGAAAAGTGAATGAGTTGCAGGGAAAATACCAATAACTTCCAGTGTAGCCAACAAATCCACCTCTAATCTGCCTCACACCGGTGTGGGCCAGACTGATGGGCTTGTGGGAAAATTTTAATAGCCTGGCCACTTTGTGTCTAAAGCCTTTATATCCTGAATTACCAGCTGCTCACTTTATCTCTGGTTGAGAGGTTTTTTAAAATTAAACTTTCTGAAGATGTTTCATTGTGTCCTGAATTCTGACAGTCTATGGCAAGTGTTAATTGTTCATATTCTGGTCATGAAGCATTAATGTGCAGGAGACGATAACCAGGGATGACTCTCTTACTCTGTTAGGGAAGAAGAGGAGCAGGAAAAAGAGGAGGAGAATGTCACAAACAGTTTAGCCTCAAGGTATAATTCTTTCATCCTTGCTGTCTGCTCACTTTTCCCACCTTTTGGTTTGTGGTTTTGAGTGTCTCTTCTACCTCATCCTTCATTCAGTTTGTGCAATATTTCAAAGCAGTATTACCCCATTAGTTATCTTTTTTTTTTAAGTCAAATAAATTTGACGTCATTGAGAACGTGTCCCTCCCAGTCATTATGATAATCTCAAAACATCTAAAGGATTGGCATTAGCCTTTCAGACTTTTAAAATTAAAACTTTATGAGAACAGGAGTTATATTTCTAAAACCCTTGAGAGACATGCAAACACAAACTCCTCTATTATAGATTATTCCCATGCAGTATCATAACTGCTCTGGGTTTACTCATAAATGCAGGGTGGAAGAACAAACAGAAGAACTGTGCCTACTCGGAGCCCTGCTGTCTATTTCTGTTATATCATCTGCAGCCTAAAGGTCATTACAGAAGAGTTTGTGCTCATTGCAGTTTTCAGTCGGCATCCAATTTCATACTGTACAATATGACAGCAATAGAGTGTAGGTGGCTTATTAAGGCCTATTGATTCCACCTCATCCCCTTAATTTAGTGAAATTGCACCCGAAGTGGACCATCCCACTGGTACCACCTCTCATTTCTGCAGCCTCTACCTCCCTCCACTTCATGTCCAGGCCTGCAGGATGATTTATGGCGACGCCCATGAAGCAGTTTGTGCTATCTGCGGCACCACAATGAGCCGGCTTTGCAGGGGTTTTGTTATTCCTAATAAATAAATCACGTTCTGCATGGTTTTACTGCCAGTGAGGCAGATCTGCTGAATAGTGCATGCAAAGGAGCCCACGTGCCAGACATGAAGAGAATGGATTTAAGGCCCCAATTGTCATTTGATCTGTGGACATCAAACACTGGAAAAACAAACAAAACAATGGGATGAAATGAGGTTTTACATTGGAGAATTAACATACTTTAGCACTGGTGCAAAAGGCTAACAGGACAGGATTTCTTTATCTTGTAAAAACAATTCATAAATTAATCTGCATTGCCCCACTGAAACATATTGTTGCAAATAGTCATTGTGTTTATTCAGACTATTTAAATATGCATGGTTCATTTGCATATCATCAAAATCGGCACTTAAAGGAGACAATTCGGCCTGAGCAAAGCCTCTGCTGAAAGGATAATTTACTGAAACAGTGCTGTTTTATTCATTAGGATTTTTTGAAAAGTGTGTGATGATTTGTCCATCAGTGTAAATTTGCTGTGTCTTTAAAGACACCCCTGGTGTTGATGTTGATGATGTATCATCACACAGCGCCATGGTGCAGGTGTTGTGTGGCCTTTTATCTCACTGGTCTTTATCTGAGCTCAGGATCTGCTCACTGCAGCACCCTGTGGAAACATTCATAACACCAAATATGCCAGCTAATACACAAACATGCCATTCTTATAAAATATAGATACATAGCATAGATTTTGTTCCTATACTATTATTTAAATGAGTTGTTAAAGGCCCTACCTGCACAAGGGATTGGAATCAGTCCTTAATTTCACACAGAGGGTGACAAATGAGACTTGAAGCCGTGAAAGTTGCTGCTGGCTAATTTAATTATCTGTATCTTGCTAGTGAAGAGTTACAGTCCTAGCATTATAAATATAATAAGGAAAGATATAGGATCAGAGTTACTTTCTAACATTGTTGTGTTTAGCTGCTTAGCTTATGCATTTTCTATCAGTATGTTTTCACTTCTAATATTACAAGACAAAAAAGCTTTTAGGATCAGTTCATTAGTAGATCAGTAGATCATTCAGTTCCTAATACTTTTGGTCCTATGTTTTTGGTTTTGCAAAGGCAAAAGGTAAACTATAAACAGTAAGTAAGCCCATGTCAGCAAAGAACAATCTTTAGATCAATTAACTGAGACATTGCTGACACACTGCAGTCACAGATAAGACTCCTTCTCCAAGTCTTAAACAGAGTCCATCTCTTTTTAAGACTTGACGATCAAAGCTTCCTTTTTTATGTGTAAAATCAAAATGTTATTCATCATTATCAGTCCTACCAGGCTACGTTTTAAATTATCTGAAGAAGATATATTTTTTTCTCTCTTCAGCTGTTCTGTACTTGTTTCCTTCTGCAGAGACAGATACTGGATTGAAGCAGTTGCCTTTTGAATTTTTGGCATTCTGTGTTTCTTCTCATGTAGCTGTAATCTCTCGAGGGACTGCTCTGTGTTTGTCAGCTCTGCTGTTGTGTGTTGCTGTGGTTTGCAGTGGTTATTATTCTCAGCTTGTGTGTGATAGTACGATGTGTAAATTTGAACACTGTGAGCGGTGTGTAAGCTCCTCTCTGTTATTTTTCTGTTCCAAGCCCTGATGTGGGAGCAGACGATGATGACATGAAGACATGCCTCTTGGGGTAAATCCCAGTTTATGCATCACCGTGTGTTTGTCCCAGATAGGAGTAGTGGAATACTAGGATTTAGGGGAGCTTGTCTTTTCATTACAGGTGATTATTTATATGACTGAAGGAAATTTATTTGACGTCAGAGATGTTGAGAAAAAAGAATCTTTGAAAGCCTTCAAGTCCAGAGATTTTTTCTATCCAGCCTAGTTGATGCAATAACAGAGTAAAAAATGCAAGAGCGCTATTTGGAGTGCATATAAAAATTTAAAAAGTAATGGCTGAAAAACCAGTTGTTATATAATATAAATTCTCCTTCCTTTCTTCCTCTTCCTTTTCCTCAACATCATTCTTTTCTTCTTTCTTGCCTCTTTAATCTGTATTATCTATCATCCACACAAACACAATATAAAATATTGTGGAAGTGTATTTATTCTGCGGATAATTGCACACACAAAATTACAAAAAACACAAAGTATGGCCCAAAGATTTTTAAAAATGTTTTGTTTGTTGTATGTAGGCCATGAAGGCTCAAAGCACTTTATTTTTGGGGGGGCTGTGAGGGCATTAAACTTGCATAAGCTTTTATCCATGTGACAGTAATGAGGTAAAGTTATGAGCCAACACTTGCAAGATCACAGGCAAAGAATATCAATTAACTTTCCAGGATAGGCAAATGAAGCAGCTATACAAAAGCACCTGGGAATAGATGCCAATATCACAGGGGTAAATAATATTGACATTCCATTTTATCTGTTGTAAAGGTACATTCTAAGTGGAAAGTTGGAAAAACATGACTTGATGGAAGCTGCCAAACAAAGTATTGAGAGAGAGAGAAAGAAAGAGGACTGCAGAGCGTTCAATAAGGTTTTAGGACATAGAGGTCTGGTTTAGTGAGCGTTTTCATTTCCCAACTGTGTTATCAGGTAGAGTCGATCTTTGTCTGGGCTCCGGTCCAGGGGGTTCCTGAAAGCACACAAAATATGTGCATTCAGTCCGTCTGTGTGGGAGAGAAAGAAGAGGTGTGTGTAGGGTATCTCATTGAGCTCCATTCAGCTGAGCCCCCAGAGCAGAACGCACAGTATATGTCAATGAATTATTGATCGCTCGCCGTTTATTTTTTTATCCTTCCTTTATTCATTTATTTTCATGTGCATGGAAGTTTTGTACAGTAGTTGAGAAATTTCAAAACACTTATGAAAACACATGCAAATGGACAAAACACAAGCAAATGAAGAAAAAATGTTAGATATAAAAAGAAACATAAACAGCTGTTTGACAAGACTGAGCATATAATTCAAAGTAACAGTGGTCTGCCCTCACTATGTGTGCAGGAGCGAGCTTAACACTTTTTGTGAAACTGTGAAAACAGTATTGGTTAAAAAACAACACATGTAATGATGGTGATTACAAATCGGAGAAATATGAGAAACCACAAACAAGAGTATTTTTGCGGCCATTGTAGTACAACACTGACAGGAATTATTTTACTGCATAATGAGTACTTTTACTTTTGATAACTTGCATACTTTTACTTAAGTAAGGGTTTGAATGCTGTACTTTTACTTGTAGTGGAGTATTTTCACAGCTTGGTATGTACTCACACTGCAGACATTTCCATCTTTGACCATCTGCTCGCAACAAGTTCAAAGTCGGATCTCTGGCAATTTAACAGCAATTTAAACAGCCACCCTCTGCCCCTTATCCCACTGCTTTACATGCACATTAAAGATACATTCATAACTGTGAGGAAAATGTTTTTTGCACAGTTTGAAACCTTTATGGAGGAAAATGGAAATACCAGGTATTGGCGAATAACCATGGGAATAATTCTGCCTCAGATCATTCGTCTTTGCTGCAATTTACACGTGTCACAAGGCAATTTATTCATGCTTTCATGTATTATTGATTTGAGCACAATCACCCCCATTTCACTTTCAGCTTTAAGCACGCATGTGCATATATTCCCCAAGTTCTCTGCTTTTTAAATATGCAATAGCTGACTTTGCTTACAATAGTAGGGTTATTATCACTATGGTACAAAGCTTGAATGAGCTTCACGTCTCATTCAAGGTGTTTGTGTGTTTGGTTGATCTGCAGTGCTTTACGTGATAGTCACGTATACATTTATGGTCTTTATTTCAGATCAAAGGAAAAGAAGGAAGGAGAAAATAATAAGTATAGCGTCCTTTTTAATTCTCAACTTCTCAACAAGCTGACTTTCTTCTGTAGCTTCTGTTCAACTTTGACTTTTTATGAGCTTTACCTGCTTTAACTTCTAAAGTGTGAATTTGCATATTTCCATTACTCTAATTGGAAAACCCACTTGTGAACTTTCTTTGCTTTTTCTCACTGACGTCTTTGAAGGTTACATTTTGTCTTTAAATCACCGTAGAGGGATGGCTTGTTAAATCTTTCAAGGTTTATCTCATTTTAAATTCAGACATGGCCTGTGCTGAAGGCATTTGTCTCTCTTGTCTGTCCTTGTATGTGTCCTTTACTCTGCACAGCAAAGGAAGGGAAAAGAAAATGAAGGGAATGAAAGACAAGTAAGTCAAATATTGTGTGGTCCTATTTGTTTACTTCCCAGAATTTCCAATGACTGTCCCCTCTGCTTTAGTTAGAAAATCGCTGTTCTTGTGTAGAAGATTCAATTTCACATCCTACAAATGCCAATATATACGTTGGCTTTTCTCATCACAATAACCGCAACATCGGTCTTCTGTTCAAGAGCTTAAAACAACTATTTTTACTTTTTCCTGACATGTAATTGTGACAATTTGTCTCGATTCTCTCTCAGGAACAAAAGCATTCTTATAGTGCCAAAAATCTTTTAGGGAGAAGAGTTTGAAGTGACTGACTTTGACACAGGACTTAATTTGCATCTAGTCTCAGTCAACGTCCTTTTCTTTTGGTTCCTTCAATGTTAAGCATTTATTTTAGGGTTAAAGTCTTGTTTTAAGGCCAAGGTTGTAATTTTGTTTGGGTAAGGTTAGTTTAAGAGAAGGTTGTGCATCCCAAGGACCAGTGACCTGATTTAAGCGGGATTTTGGTGACAATTTTACTCACTGAGGAAAGAATGCACTTGCATGCATAAAACACTCAGTTGGTGCCACTAAGATTAGCAGTTTTAAATTAGTGGACCAAACCTCTTCCAAGTCCAAGATTACATGAAGTTCATGTCATGTTATGAAGGCTGTCTGGACTCACTTCAACAACAATCATCTTTGGTGGTGTACAGAGCCCAGCCCACTCCATCCTCCTCCTCTCCCTTGTATCTCCAGCCATGTACCTCCACCTCCTGCTCTCTCCCTCCCCTCCTCTCTCCTGCATCATCATTTACTAATCTGTCCAACTGTTATCTGCCTGGCTGGCCTGGACTATCTGCACCTGACAGGTGAAGAATATGGAAATATAGTTCAATATAGAAGGAAGCTTGGGGAAGAACCTTGTTGGGGTGGATTTATGGTGATCTGACCTCTGAGGAGTTGAGTATAGGCTCAGTGGTGTCTTTCATGTGGTATGTATAAAACACATTTTTTCACACATTGTGTTTGTGTGTCTTTAGTTTGCGTGTCTTTTTGTTGAATCATAGATTGAATGAGACAAGGAGGCAGACTGGAACACTGGAACATCTGAATTTGCATTTTACCAGGGGTGCAATATCACAAATTCAATAAATTGCTTTTTCAATCAGTCGTTTAAATTTTAAGTCTATAACATGAAAATATGGAAATATGCCCATCACAATTCCAGGTGAGTCTAACATTACTTTTTAAATTGCTTGTCAATTTTCTGCACATTGATTGACTTAATTGTTTCAGAATTTCAGCTCCAGGTAGCAGATGTTATACTCAAAAGTATTTTCCAAGGCGGTCAAACTGTTTAATGCATGCACTGACAATTCAATAAACTGGCCCATCAGCTGGAAATATAATGGTTGGTGCTTTATAGGCTGAGAGTCCAAGGCGCGTATCCCTGAGTGTGAATGATCTTGATTTGATTTGACTGGAAAAGCTTTTTACCTTTATTTTGATGAGTGATCCACTTGTCTTTCCTCGACTTTTATTTCCATTTACGTGGCTCCAGGCTCTTACTTTTAAATCTCACTCAGCCATGAATTCATCAAATGAGATACATGCATACTTTTCTTTAAAACCAGTTTGCCATATTCCATAAAATGAGGTTGATGGTTCCCTCTGGAATTGCGGGTGAAAGATCAAAGCAGAAATTGAACTCTGATACACTCGACTGTGAATGCTTGAGGAAACAAAAGGAAAACCTTCCTATTCATTAATTTCCTGACATGTATCCATATCCGCAGCAAATTGGACGGTCACACTCATTTTTAATTATTAAGGCCACTCATTTGTCGTCCCGCTGATGACATCACAAGCTCTTTGTTGTTGCGGTGATATGTGATCCAGTTAATATCAATGTGGAGACACTGGATACTGTTGTTTTGTGATTGAGGGTCTGGAGAATTGGTAATGGTGATGGTGATGGCGGGAGATTAAATCCACTGGAATTAAATGTCTAGCCGAGTTACAAAGATGATATATGGATGTTATGGTGTTGGGTTGCATTTTGATTATATCCACAAGTGGGCAGTGGGGTTCTCCGGTCAAGTTAAGTTCAGTGTTTAATGTTGAGTCTACTGATGGAGACTGGCTTTAATGAGACAAGCATGAAACTGGTTGATTTAAGAATGAATCAGCAGTGAATCAGCACAGGTTCACTTTCATGATATAAGTTCCGTCTCCTTTCTCCTCCTGTCTGGCTGACCGTTTCTCCTCCACCAGAGCGGGCAAGGGAGTTTTCTCAGCCATGAAGCTCGGCAAGATCAAGAGCTCTAAAGATGACCACAGGAAAGGAGGTAAATCAACACACAAGACAGAAGACAAGGTCTTGCAAGTCCCCCTCCCTCAGAAATTTGGACCCCAAAATAAATTCTCAAACCTTTTAAATTGTTTGGCTTTTTTTAAAACGTCTTAATTATTATTATTATTGTTATTATTATTAACTGTTCATATTCTCTGTAAATAATTTTTCCCAATGTGAACCCTGTTTTTAGCCCTTGTCACACTCCAAGGAATACAATTCAGTTTGGAATCTACTAAATTAGTTCATGTAAAGTCCCTAAAAGTACTGGAATTTATATACATATAATATAAAAACACACTTGAAATCAACCTATAAAATATCCACCAAGTTTTAGTTTTTAATCGTTGATTTGCTTGATTTTAATTGTCCAGATGAGCCGGCGGTCCTGGACATGGAGGATCTGGACAGGAAGGCGATGCGTCTTGCTGGATCACTGGACCCTGATACCATCTCTCTCGCCTCTGTCACTGCCGTCACCACTAACGTCTCCAATAAGAGGTCTCATATTTGTTCATACACTAAGGCATTGCACACACATAGTAGATAAATACACTCCAGTATGCACATCAGCACACAGTAGGTTAAAGCATCCTGCCTTAATGGCCTCAGCCAGCACTGATCATCTCCAACTGCTGATGCCGCAGGATGAACTGAATCTGGTGGCACAGTCACACCATTTAATAGCATATATTTATAAAGATAATCATACACAACCTTGAAATATGGAACAATGAGGGCTTTCACAATTTCACATTCAAACTTAGAATTGAGTTTATGCTCATGTACCATCAGTTTTCACTGTCGGAGCACTGGAGAATGTACTCTGCTAATCCACTGCAGAAAATCACTGATTGTTCAATTTCTTCAGGTCAAAGCCAGATATTAAGATGGAACCGAGCTCTGGACGACCAGTGGATTATCAGGTGTGTGTGTGTTTCTGGGTGTTTGAATGTGTATATATTCATTATACAGAGTGAGAAGAGAAGATTGAGTGGAGTCGGTGTCCTTGTGTAACCCTCTGCAGAAAGTGATTAAGTGTACATCTGGTTTTAGGGGATTAATGTGCTGTATTTCTTAGCAAAGAACAGTTTATCCATCCAAGATGTTAATTAGTGAGGGTTAGAGGTTCTGGTAGGCATATCTTCTTAATTTAAAAGGCTATCTGTGCTTTCGGTCTTTATGATAAGCTAAGCTAATAACCTCCAGGCTCTTTCTGTCAATATAAGGCCACAGCCAGCAGCTGGTTAGCTTAGCGCAAAGACTGAAAACAGGGCAAAAACAGCTAGCCTGGACCTGTCCAAAAGTACCAGCACTTATAAAGCTCATTAATTAACATGTTATGTCTTATTTGTACAAAACTGTACAAAAACAAATTGTAAAAATTACAATTTACTGTTTTATAATAATAATAATAATAATACATTTTATTTATAAAGCACTTTTCATAAGAGAATCTCAAAGT